CACTTCTCTAAATTCCCGATTCCTGCTGATGGTGTTTTGTCTGCCAAATTTGCCATTTAATTAGCTATTGAGCAATGCGAAAACTGCTGATGATACTGAGGGACCTTATATATGAATGCTTAGATAGGTGTCGTAGTCCCATAGGTAGATGGGGATCAGCTGAAGGTCAGCTGATGCGAGCTTGACTAACGTGACCTGCCAGAACTAACGCTACGCTTGATTTCTGTCTCATATGTGCCACAGCTGATTCAGAGCCACTTTTGTTATAAATGTCCTTGTATTTAAAATGCAGCTGGTGTTATAAGAACTGATCCTAAATCAGGTGTGGAAATAAAATTGAGATTTGACTGACTCAAGGTGGATATTGGTGGGAGTAATGTGTCTCAGCGCAGGTGAAATGGGGCCTAAGGGTACACTAAACCTTTTAGAGTCTGAAAGCTGGAAAGAGGATCTCAGCGCTATGTGTTAAAGTTTGCCTTGAGGAGGGTTCTGCATTCTGCAGGGGCCCGTATTAGGAATAAAAAGGTGCTAAAATGGAAATTGTGGTGTAAAATGATTTAGAATCAAGATTGAACACACAGAAGAACAGAGTGGCCTAATGATTTCATTGGTGTAGTTAATTTCCCTTTTGACCTTAATTTTCTTTAGCTTTTTTCTTGTTGAATTCTTTTAAATGTCAGTTGCCTCATTGTTTATATACAGCATGCACTACTGTTCAAAAGTTTGGGGTCAGGAAGATATTTTTAAAATAAATTAATACTTTTATTCAGCAAAGACTCATAAAATTGATCTACAGTGACAGTAAAGTGGTTTACATTGTTACAGATATTTTTATTTCAAATTGATGTTCTTTCTGTTCATCAAAGAATCCTGTAAACATATCACGTTTTCCACAAAAAAATGTTTTTTTTGCTGGAACTGGTTTCAATATCGATAATAAATAAATGTTACTTGAGCACAAAATCAGCATTTCAGAATAATTTCTGAAGAGTGAGGTAAAAGCTGCTGAAAATGTAGCTTTGCCATCACTGGAATAAATTACACTTTAAAATATATTTAAAATAGAAGACAGGTTTTTTAAATAGTAATAATATTTCACAATATTACTGTTTGTACTGTATTTTTAAATAAATGCAACCCTTTTCCAAAAGCCTGATACCAAACTTTATTTAGATGGATATACTATTTGATTGAGCTCTATTTAACTTTAGCTGCCTATTTAACACAAAATTTTAATTATTTGTATTTATTTTTTTTTCTTTTGCACGTGCTAGGGTTGTATGCACTTTCCAATTACCTGTTTTTTCGAGGAGGGAGTAAAATAGTGTACATGAGTTAAGTTGCTTCTTCTCATCATCAGCAAGGGATTCAACCCAACAAACACCTGGCAAGGGTCTTTTATTCTCTGTGCCACTCAATTTATCACAAGATATCTGGAGTATTAGCTTGAAGAACGTCTTTGTTTATCCTGTGGAATGACATTGTAATGTTTGTATAAGTTGGCACAATGTATGTATCTTTTTTTCTTCTCACAGGCAGGGATGATCAGAACTGAGCAGGAGGAGTTTTTTATTGAGCCAGTGGAAACGGGACATCATGTGATTGAGCAGGAGGAAGAGGACGGTGGCCGTTCTCACATTGTGTACCGTTCCGACGCCGTGAAGAAGCCTCCTGTTAGCTCACTAGCTGCAGACTTCCACTCCAAAGGTTAGTGCTGTTCAGCGTTTGTTAACCTGCATATTTTTCCTGTACATGCTAAACAATTCCCCTGCTTGTAAAGAAAATATTAAATCCTTCTTGTGTTATGTAGTTGTACCATTGTTTCGCTAATTTTTCAGCATTTCTAAAGCTTTTGATTTAAAATCTAGCAGTTTTGAAGAGCGTTTGCAAAATAGTTGCACTGACATTTACTGTCAGTGTGGTTATAACTAATGGTTCATGTGGTGGACATGCATTGTTAACCCAAAGAGTCAAAGGAGGCCTCTGGTCAGCTTGGGTTTCACTGTTTGGATCATCGTCCACTGACTGCCCAGCTGAGGCCAACATCATGCATTGCTTTCAATGAAGTGCCACGTTGAAGAAAAAAAATGTTGTCTACCAGTAATTGTGAGTCATGTAACTGAATAGGAATTTGGGTTGTGAAATCGGTTATAAAACAGCCACTCTGTAAAATTTTAAAAGTTTTCTTTTTAAATACTTATATCTTCATGGTAGGTGAATAACAGAATCATTTTTATAAATATAAAACAATATGTATATAGGTCATTAGAAATCAAATGACTCAAATGAGAAATCTAATGATTTTTTTTTTTGCATAAAAATGCTTGCTGTACTAGGAATACAAAATTAACTCTCTCTTATGCTTTTAATGGCAAATTTAAGGTTTAGATAGCTTTTGAGCATTTAAAAATGCTGTCAATTGAATGCTTACAAGTGACATTTTGCAACTCTGCCAAGCAGCTGTTGAGATGTTGTTAGCACCATTTAGTCATGTACTTATTCAGGAGGTAGAAAATCAATTCAAAACCTCTCTTCAATTGCTCTCTGCGTGCACAAGGCTTAGTCAATTTCAGCTGTATTTTTCTCTGCTTATAATGTGTTTATGGCAAAGCTATTGCATGCTTTTAACCCAAGGTGCATGTCAGTACATCTGCTGTGTAAAGCCCTCTGAAATGTAGAGACTATTGGCACTTTTGTTGTATTTGTTTTAAGGATAAGTTTAATGAAAAAATTAGCAAGTGGTGATAGTCTAAGCATGCTTAATACTTTTTTTCTTTTTCTTTATTTTTTACATATTAACCTTTCTGTTCAGCTTTTATAGGCCTTCTATTTATGGGATTTGGCTTTGTTGAAAATTTTTCATGCTTCACTTCAGGCAGAAAACAACATGCACAGCCAGCAAATTTTAGCAAGATTTAAAAAAAAAAAAAAAAAAATCAGCATCAACATTTGGTTCCATTTCTTGTCAGAGGAGTGGCAGCCATATGGGAAAAAATAACTGTTGCTCATGCAAATAAACAATTATACAGTTAATAATAGTTTTTTCTCCCTAACTAACCATTTACAGTAGCTGCTCACTAAAAACATTAAAATTAAAAGGGACATATAAATAATATTTGATTATGAAATATATACAGAAGCAGATAAGAGATTTTCATTAATTAAAGTGAAAATAACAAATAATTGTCTGGTCCTTATTTCATGGTTAATTATGGAAAAATATATTTTTACCTTTTTTGAAATAATGTATAGTATGCTATACTGCTTCAAAAAAATTTTTTTTTTTACGTTTTTATTTTGAAAAATAATACATATTTATAATAGTGCTGTCAAACGATTAATCGCATCCAAAATAAACGTTTTTGTTTACATAATATACTGTATGTGTGCATACTGTGTATATTTATTATGTATATATAAATACAAACACATGCATGTATATATTTAAGAAAAATATGTTATGTTTATATATTAAATATATTTATGTATCATATAAAATATAAGAATTATAAAAATATAAATGTATATACATGTAAATATTTTCAAAATATATACTGTATGTGTGTGTATTTATATATACATAATATATATATATACAGTACACATACATATATAATGTAAACAGAAACTTTTATTTTGGATGCGATTAATCGCGATTAATTGTTTGACAGCACTAATTTATAATATATCAACATGATTTTATCTTAAAAAAATCTTTATTTTAAAGATTTTATAATATAATGCTCTTTTAGTAGTTTTTGGAAACAATTTACAATAAGGTTCCATTTGTTAACATTAGTTAACTACATTAGTTAACATAAACTAACGATGAAAAATATTTCTAAGGCATTTACTGTATGTTGATTCCAACATTTACTAATACATTATTTAAAATCAAAAGTTGTTTCTATTAATGTCATTTAATGGACCTGAGCTAACATGGAGTGACAATGAACAGTTGTATTTCCATTAACTATTGTTAACAAAAATTAATAAATACTGTCACAAATGTATTGCTCATTGTGAATGTTGGTTAATGCATTCAATATAGTTAACAAATAGAACCTTATTGCAAAATATTACCAAAAATGAAAAAAAAAAAAAGATCATGTATGCTTTAATGACTGATCATTTTCAACCCATTTTAACATTTAATTCTTAATATGGCACCTTTAAACACTTTTTTCTGCCATTATTGAGATAGCCTTTATATCAGATACATTACATCAGATAAACTTTGCTATTTGTGTTTATCGTATATACATTGGTCACATTTTACATTGAAATGAACAAATCTGAAACTTGCTGTAGGAAGACATGAATCATGTACACTCTTAAAATGAAAGGTGCTTTAAAGGGTTCTTCACATCGATGCCATAGAAGAACCATTTTTGGTTCCACAAAGAACCATTCAGTCAAAGGTTTTTTAAAGAACCATCTATTTTTTTACCTTTTTATAATTCTTTTGCCAGAAAGAACCTTTTGTGAAACAGAAAGGTTCTTCAGATGTTAAAGGTTCTTTATGGAACCATTTAGACAAAAAGGTTCTTCTATGGCATCGTGAAGCACCTTTATTTTTAAGAGTGTATCTACAGTGGATCCTATCGTTGCTATGTTGATAAACTATTCTAACTAATACATCAATGTGTGAATGTTGTTAAAAGAAACACATACAGTTCAAATTTTCCCACGTCAGCAGTATCTTGGAGCTCAGGAATGTGGTAATGTGCAACAATCATAGTTTCATAGTCTTTCATAATTTCCCAATGGCCTTGAATATGTGTACAGACTCACTGAATGAATAGTTCACCTTTGTGTTAGCTTAATTTGTTTGCCTGTTGCTTAGAAAGGTTTTGTGACTTGTGGCAACATAATTCTGTGTACTGTGTATTTCTCTATTTGAAAGAGATATTAGTGATCAGCTCTTTCAGCAATTGACAGAAATTAGGGAAATTTTGTGTGCCCAGTAATCAGAAGGTGATAATGTGATCTTAAGCCAGAACACTAAGAGCCAGATTTACTAACAGTTTGCGCCAGCACAAACCGTCTTTTGTCGTTAAAATAGTACTGTCAGGATTTACTAAAGACGGGCAGTGAAGAATCAGCACCGAAAAGGTGTGGAAACAATTATTTTTGCACCTGATCTTACTGAATATGCATTTGTAGGAGTTTCCCTTTCAGATGCTAAATTTATGGGAGGAGAGTATTAAAATTAATCACGCAATGCAATTTACTAACGTTTGCGCTCGTCAAAATACTGGTATTTGCGCCATTATTTAACACCCAAAAAAAAACATGTCTTAAAGCAGGCATTAATTTGTGCTGCTCTTGGTAGATTGCACTGGTCATTATGGCTTTTGTGCTCTAACGCTAATTTGCCCTGTTTAGTAAATCTGGCCCTAAAGCATTTTTTTTTTAAATTTGCTGCATTGATTTCAAAGGGAATGCCATAAGAGGAGGAAAAAATGCAAGAATGCTCTGTAATGCAACGAAAAGTTGCAAAGCTCCCAACTGGAGAATGAGAGCAGCAGTGATGTAGCCAATTGAAAAAATCACCCAATCAGATAACTCATAGTAGCCTACACCATCACTCTGATTTTATTATGTTCTTGGGACCAAAATGTGTCATTTCACTTTTAATGTCCAATTGATCACCTAAAGGTCAATCAATCTTGATCTTTAGCACTAGGGGCGTTGACGCAACGGTGCTCAGGTATGAGAGGCATCGTAACTTTCAGTCGTTGCTGCATTGTGTAGCTGTGCATTGAACGGGTCCTGGAGTGTACTGTGAATATGGGGGATTATGAAGGTCTATTCTGAGCACTCGCGCCTGACACCAGAGCCGCCAATCATAAAGGAATAAAAGCAGCAGTGGAGAGGAAAAATAAGTTTCTGTAAGAGTGTGTCGCAGAAGGATCTGGAAGGAGATGGATCTTAGCAAAGTGTAGACTGGTGTTAATGCTTTGTCATTGACACCTGCTTCTCAGCTGATTCCACTTCTGGAGTGTTATGGGGTGTGTGTGTGTGTCTGTGTAACACCCTGTTGTGATAATATTATCCATACTGAGCCATGCACCCTGTTGTATGTGCATTTAATACATGCATCTCTGTACACATGCACAAAGTAGACTCTCTGTTGCTTGGTGAGCTGCAGTGTGCCTATGAAGCGCTAAGGTGAGTCTGGATGGCGTGGGAAGCGATGCTTGGGAGGTGCTCGTGCTGCACTCTGCTGTGAAAAAGCGGAGTTTTTCATGGCCAGACGGTCATGTGATGCAAAGACAACATAACTGAGTTGTGTTCCTGCTATGCTGCATTTCACCTTCCCAGATTTCATACCAAGTGCTATAGCACCGTCCATTAACAACATCAGTTTAATGGGTGTTTTTGAGGTGTACTAGGAGGTCTAACCGTTTCTTACAATTTAATGTGTACCATAGTATTATTTGTTGAACATGAACATTATGTAAATCATTTGAAATTACTAAATAATTTTTTTTCTTGGTAATTTATAGCAACAAGGACTGGGTGACTTATTGAAAAGTATATGTTCATAAGGATTTGGGTAATACTTCTCACTATTAACTAGTTGCTTATTTAGCGTGCCTATTATTAACACATTGGCTGTTTATTAGTACTTATAAAGCACATTTTCTGCATGACCATATTCTACATCCCTAATCCTACCCAATACCTAAACTTAACAACTA